GATGTTAGGCAGGAGAGACGCTGATCTGATTTTTTTTAAAGATGTATTTATTTATGCATACAAGAGCTGGGGTACAGACCAGGGATGCGGGGGGTGAGAGGATTCATCAGAGACAGAGTGGGGAACAAAACAGGCAGACTGACTGAAATACACTGCTGAGGGGAGCAGCGGGCGAGACAGGAGAGGTCTGCTGCACCATGTGGGCTGCTCCCTGGTCGGCTGGGGATCAAACTCGTGCTACAGAGGCTGTGGATTGCTTCACAGTGCGGTGCTTAACCCCTTGCACCACCAGGGAGGCCCTGATCTGATTTGTTTTAAGAAGATAACTCTGGCTACAGTGGAGAGTGTGGGGGAATTTGACTGGCATGGGGCAAGTGAGGGACAGAGAAAGGAGGTTCTCCAGAGATGGTAGCAAAAGGAGGAGAAAGAAGAGAAAGGACCTGAAGGGTTTTAGAAGGTAGAAATGACAGATTGACCAATGATTTAGATGTGTGGGCCAGGGGGAGGAGAGCCCAGGCTGATGTCATATTTTTTTGTGGGGGGTAGGTGGTAAGAGCTCAATAGCTCCATGTTAGACACTTTCCAAAAAGAAGACAGTGGGGTGTGCAAGGGGAGTTGTCAGGGGGGCGGTCAGGTCTGAGTCTGATTTGCACTGGGGTTCGGGTTGGAGATACCAATTTGTGAATTGTCAGTCATGGGAATGGATATTGTTCTCCAGTGAAAGAAGAGGGGGAGACTGGAAGGGGCCAGGAACCAGGTCTGGGACTCCCACATTGGGAGATAAGGGAGGACTTGCAAAGCAGGGAAGGAGAGGGAGTCAAGGCAGAGAAGGAAAACCAGGACGGCATCCTCAGAGCTGAGGAGGGGTTTAAAAGGGAAGTGGCTCCATGCAGGCTGAGAGCAGCAGGGGGCCACCTGCCTCTAGAGAGGCGAGAAGAAAGCGCAGGACAGAAAGGGGACCCGGACATGGTCACATGAAAACTACCAATGACAGTAACAAGAGCACTTTGCTGGAGTCAGGGTCGAATGCCTGGCGGGGGATAAGTGGGTGGCGAGGAAGTGGAGACAACGCATGAGCACCAGTCCTGTAGAAGTTTGGTTATAAAGGGGAATAAAGAAATGTGCCCTCAGAGGCCCAGAGCGCTCAAGGTGGGATGCTTCGCAGTGAGAAATACTAGAGCGTGTTTGGAAATTCTCAAAATGATCACCAGAGAGTGAGAGATTGTGCCTCAGTTTTTGTTTTTTGTTTCTAATAATGATGAGAACGTTTAATTGTGCAACTTTTCACAGTTTACCAAGTGTTATCACACACTCTCTCTCACTTATCCTTAGAGACATCCTGCGAGGTACATAGCAGCCCCGTTATAGATGAAGCTGCTGGAGCTTAGAGGAACTGAGTGACAAGCTCAAGGTCAGAGTCAGGAAGTGGGAAGGGCAGGACCCCCTACCCAGGCTGCTCTTGGCCTAACCCCGGGGCCCCGTCCCATCTAAAGCCATCCTGTCACACTGGACTGGCACCAGAACTAGACAGACTTACTGGTCAAGCCCTGCTGAGGCCTCTCTAGCTGATTTTCCAGTTACTTCCCAGCCAATCCTGTCTGCCTGCTGGCCCGGCTGTCAATATTAACAAGTCACAGCTGCTTTTCGAGAACACGGGACCGGGTCCCATTTCCTGACCCCATTCAACTAAACTGCGAATCCTCCTGAATGTCTAGAATTGCCCAACAATCTGTGCTAGATGTCCAAGAGAGGAAGCATGAAACCCCTCAGGTCCAGCTCCCAGGCTCGTCAGTGTGGGGACTGGCCAGAGAGACCAGGGGCAGGCTAGTCACTGGTCCTCAGGCTCTGCATCTCTAACACCCTGGGGTTGACATGAGAATGAAATGAGATATGGAAATAGAAAGTGCCCGGCCCCTTGTAAGTGTTTTGCTAATGCTACTCATGATTAATTTTATTTATTCATTCACTTACCCCCTTATTCACTCATTCATTTTTATTTCAATAGCTACTGTATATTTAATCATGAACCCATTACAAAGATAGTCGTCATCCAGTTAAATCTCTTCATTACTGCTGGTTTCTAAAATGGCCAGCCAATGTACCGTCAACTTTGCATTCAAAACCAGAAAATAATGGAGGCCAAATCCTTGCTGTCCTCTCCTGCTGCTGTGCCCTAGCATCATCCAGAGTTCTGTAGTGCAAAGAGTCTCGCCCTTCCTTGCACTTCCTTGCACTGGACAGACATTTGCTGAGCGGCCTCTCTGTGCCACGCATTGCTCTAGGCACAGCAAATGCTTCCCGGCCCAAGAAGCATATGTTTTAATGAGGAAAGTGATGTTGGAATACAAACAACTCTGCCCTCGCAGGAGTAGTGAGGCGCAAAACACTGTGGGTATCCAGAGAAGAGGCTCACATCCAACCAAAGCAGTTGGGGCAAAGCTTCGTGGGAGGACGGGAGAGTGGAGAGAACAAGAATATTCCCCCGGGAGGATACGGCTGCAGCTGAGCAAAGTCATGGGAGCTGGAAAGGGCAGAGCCTGTTTACGGGGTGCTGAGGGGCTGGAGCATCAGCTCTGCAGCGAGGAGCAGAAGGGGTAGGACTGGCTGTCCCAGGGAAGACTGTGAGAGGCCCAGGCATCAGGCCAGCAGAGCCCCGGAGAAGCCCAGACCCTGGTCAGAAGGGAACTGAACACCTGACGTCATAATCCTCCTCCCCAGCAAGGGTCTTGACTCTTGTGAGAAGCAAACGAAGTCAAGGATGAGCGACTGCTTTGTAAACTGTAAACTGCTGTAGCAGCATAGGATTGTTATCTCCACCATTTACATGAGACTTTGGGCATTTCTCACATAGCTACTTTGGAAAGGGTTATCAGGAGGAAAAATGCACAGGACCAAGAGTGTCAGCACCATGGGCAGCGTGGAAAGGATGGGTCTGGGCCCTGGAGATGGCTGGAGGCCCAGCGCTGCCACAGCCCAGCTGCTTGGGCAGCTCGCTCTGCTTCTCTGACCCTCAGACTCCTTCCCTTTTCTAGAAAAATGCCTTACTAACTGTCCTTCCAGTGTTATGTGGGGCCCAGTTGAAACAAAGCCTGTGTGAAGGCTTTGGACGAGACCCACCATTCTAGAACTTTTGTTGCCTTTTGAGGGGCAGGCGCGGAGGTTATAAAGGGAAGACACGAGGTATTGAAGAGGAGCGTTTAGCACCAGAAGTTGCTTCCTGTCCCTGGTGGCTGGAATCAGCTGCTGATGGTGCTGGAACCCAAGCGTTCTATCTCCCCCACACAGACAGATACCCTAGGCCGCACTGAGCCTTGACGCGCCGCCCCAGACCTCTTTGTCAAGGCGTGTCAGGCACAGCCTTCCATCACCCGGCGCTGACTCAGCCCCCAGTGAGCTCTCGCTCCCTCTTACACACTTTGGGTGCCAGAAGGCACCCAGCCAGTTGCTCCCCCAAACTTGACTGGCTTTGCATCTCTGTGACGAGGAGACGGCCAAGTTGGATCTATTTCAGGAAAGCAAGAAGTAATTTCTCTCAAAGACCTTGGAGAGTTCTTTCTGCCCTCCCCAAAGTGTTCTCAGCCAGGGACCATGCAAGGCTGGCAGCTGAGCCTCACTCAGGATGTACTCGTTCGGGTTAAAACAAAGGCAGAAGGCGGGCGACTAATGGATGGGGGTTGGCTGGGTTTCTTTGAGAGCCTGGCACGCTGGTGTTCCCAGGAGGCAGAGGAGGCCTCCAGGCAGTCATGGTGTGCTGCCTGGGGGTGACCTTGGGCACGGAGCTTTCTACCTACAGGAAGGTAATGGCCAGAAATCCACTGTAGGACACCTGAGACTTTATGAGTCAGACTTGAGCTCAGAGGTCTCATTCATTCCCAACAGGTATTTACTGAGCACTTATTGGGTGCCAGGCACTGGTCTAGACCTGGGGAACAAAACAGAGTTCTGCCCTCCTGGAGTAGCATTCTAGTGGAGTCAGACAGAGAAGGAGGAGATAAACAGGAAGGGAGAGGATTGTTTGCTGGTGGTAAAAGCTGGGGAAAGAGTGGGGGAGGGCTAAGGCATATGGGGTGTGGTTGCAAGTTTTAGGAATGTGAGCAGGGAGAATAATTGAGTAAAGACCTGAAGGGGGTGAAGGATGGAGACAGCCACGTGGGTATCTGGAGGAAAAGCATTCTGGCAGAGGGAAGAGAAAGTGCAAAGTCCCTGAGGCAAGAACAAGCCTGGGGGCTCAGTGCAGCGCTGGCTGCAGGAGAGGGAGACAAGGAGAGATGAGGACTGATGAGCATTTAAAATCTTCTGTTTTGAATTCCTTCAAAAAAGATCCAGCAAGTTCATCTACTGACTTTAGATGTGTTCATATACTCCCATCTGAGGTGCTAATTTCGTACTACTGTTTTCTGTCAGGAGAATCATTCCAAACCAGTGCCTTCTGCTCCTCCTGGGCTCACTCACACAAGGACTCTCCGGAAAGTCAAAAGGACTTGGTTCCAAATGGCCACACAAGCTGTGTTACCTTGGGCAGGGCACTTACCCTCTCTGAGCCTGAGTTGTCCCAAGGAAACTCAGTTGCCTCATCTGTAAAATGGATTAATAATAAATACAGCTTCCCACACCTACCCCACTTGATTGTTTTAGATTTAAATTAACAAGATTATATCAATAAAGGGGGCTTTTCATTGAAATGGGCAAGATCAAAATGTCAGAGAAGTTTTTGTTTGCTTCAGCAAAGCCTGAGGTTACGGGGTTGGCTGCCCACTCTGTTCCACCACCCTGCTCCTTGTATTGTGTCCCAGTTGATTCATTCTGCCTCGGTCTGTATCTGCTGAGGGGCACTCATCAAACGCCCAAGGACCTCGAAGACAAGGTTACCCAGGGTGCCCCAGGAGCACCATGGGGCTGAACTGCCTGGGAGGACTGAGTCCACTGCTCCATCACTCCAGTTGGGTGGAACTGGGTGGGCCCGGTTCTCCTCCCCAACCTCCTTCCTATTCCTCCTCCAGGTACAATGGTCCCAACCTGGTTCTGAAGTACGACCGGGCCCAGAAGCGGTTGGTGAACATCGCTGTTGATGAGCGCAGCTCGCCCTACTATGCGCTACGGGACAGGCAGGGCTATGCCATTGGGGTCACAGCCTGTGACATCGACGGGGATGGCCGGGAGGAGATCTACTTCCTCAACACCAATAATGCCTTCTCAGGTAAGGGTTGGGGGCCCCGGGCCTCTACCTGCTTCCCCCAACCCTGACTGTGCCTCGGGCCCCTGGCCTTCCTCGGGCCCCTGTTGCGGGCTGCTCCAGGCTCAGTTCCCTTCTTCTCCAGGCTCGGAGAACTCACTCTGTCTGGTAGACACCCAGTGACTCCTTCTCTTGTTCTCACTAGGCCCCTGGGCTTAGAGATGAGGTGCATGAGCAAAGGTCAACCATTCCTTCCTTCGACTTTGTCCTCTGTGCTCCCTGTCTGAGCAGCACCCACCCCTCCGGCCCTCCGGACCCCTCGTTCCTGACCACCCCCTGCCCTGTGGTGGTGACTCAACCACTCATCACTTCTCACCTGGGCTTCAGTTGCTGCAGCCAACAGATGCCCCCTGGAACCACCCTCTGTGCCACTTCTAGGGGACCTTTTAAAAATGTTTTGAAATCCTCCAAGGGCCCCTTGGAGCCCCTACAGGGCCCCTACAGCTTTCAGATGAGCTCATTTATTCACCCTAAAAATTCGGGCCAAATACCTTCTTTCATGCCACCTGGAGGGCCAGGTGCTGGGGTTACAATTTGGAGGAAGGTGAAGCCTGTCCTAGCTTAGAGCACCTCTGAGTCACCTGGGGGCTGTATCCCTGCAGATGCTGGGCTAGGGCCGCCTCAGCTCCCCTCCCCATCACAGCAGAATATGGCAGACTCACACCATATTTGCTGTATGTGTTCTATCTGTTTTAACAGATAGGCCTGGGACAGGCCCAAAAGGGACAGAAATATTTGGGACAGCACCAAACCCAAGAGGTCTGATTGGGCCCAAGATCTGGCGCAGCTCATACACTCACAGGCTATGCTGATGGTGCTGGGCCAGGGACCACACTTTGAGTAGCGAGGTCCTTCATTCTAAGGAATGGACGAGGGAAACCGACTCACGGGGGTCTAGGTAACAGTAGCAGTGGTGGTAGGTACGGCTTGTGTTATGCCTGCTGCGTGCCAGGCCCTGATCTAGCATTACCATTGTCTCACTTAAGCCTCACTTGACAGCTCAATGAAGCAGGCTCTGGGGTATCCCACTATATAGTTGAGGACACAAAGGTCACACAATTTGCCCAAGACCAACGACGTGTATGTTTTAAGACTCAAACCCAGGAGTCTGACTCCAGATCTGTCCTTTAAAGCAGGACACTCAATCCTAAGTCCTGGGGGCCCAGTGGAGAACGTGGTCATAGTGGGTGCTCAGGGATTCACGAGGCGGGGGGCTATGCTCCTGGGGCTGCAGGTCGAGGTGTTCCCAGCCCCTGACTCTCATGTTCTCTCAGACCTGACCTCTGCTCACTAGGTTGGAGTCTGCTGCCACAGGGCATAAGAGGAAGTCCCAGGCACAGTGTCCTCCGAGAGAGCACAGGACCTCACTTTTGTCCCTGTAGGGCCAGGCCAGACATGCCCTGGACCCCTCCAGATGACAGCAGCCTCTTGGGAAGGTCGTCCTGGGTATTCACTATCCTGGACCCTCCCAACCTCCTAGAAGCAGGTGATTGCCTGGCCATGGGGACCACAATCCCTGTCCCCTACACACACGCACTACATACACTCACACACTCACACACTGGCTTTCCCCTGGGTCCATTGTGTTCCCCTACTAGTTGCTGAGCTGAAGCCAGGACCCAGCCCTGGACTGGCCCCAATGTTGAGCCCTACTGGTTGCATGAATGGGAGGGGAAGAGGTTGGGGCCCGTGCCAGGGGCAGGGGCGGGCCAGGCTGGCAGCCCGCCAACCTTGTGCAGCCAAGAAACAATGAGGCACAGCCCCAAGTGGTGTTTTATGGGTTTTCATCTCATCTTGCCACCGAGTGAGGCCTGAGAGATAGTAATTATCCCTACACAAATATCAGGGCATGATTACCCAGCTGGATTTACTGCCCTCTCTCCAACCAAGCCAAGATTGGATTAGGACACAATTAATTGATGGGCTGATCAACCCTTTCCTGTGGGGCAAGGTCAGGAGGGGAGCAGCGGCAGGGACAGCTGTGGAAGGGGTGAGTCCCCAGGAAGATGCTGGAGGGCAGGGAGGCGAGCGGGGTGGGGGGGAGAGCTATGGAAGGGGGTGCTGGATGAGGTCCTGGGAGGCAGGATGCCAGAGGAAGGGACAGACAGACGCTTCCCTCCGCTCACCTCGCACAGAGTACCTGGGGTGGGACCTGTCAGGTGTCTCCGGAGCTGCAGCCCCTCCCACACGCCGAGAGCTTTCTGCTGAAAATCCTCAGCCCAGCCTGCACACTGGAATCTCCTAGTGGATTTTCAACACCCCCAGTCCTCAAAATGTACCCCAGGCCAGTCCAATCCACACCTCTGGGGGTGGGACCCGTTATCAGAACTCAGGTGATTCCCAGTGTAGGAGAGATTGAGGTCCACTACCCTGGAGTCCTGTTAATTCCATTCCCAGCCTACTGGAGCCCCAGTCATTCCCTAATGGACTAATTCAGTTAGTGGCCTAATATTTATTGAGCACCTACTGTGTGCCAGGCACTATTCTAAGCACTGAGGATACCCAGTGAATGAAACAGACAAGAGCCCTGCCCTCGGGAAGTTTGCACTCTCCCTAATACGGCCTTATATTTCTCTTGGTATCTGACCACCCTCTACCAGTCCCCTGGATCTATGCTCCTTGAGAAAATTCCTATGTTGGTCATTTTGTGTCCTCCCCTGGTCCATCAAGCCCTTAAACATCCTAACAGCACAATAAAAACTTGACAAATAGGGGGCCTCCCCGGTGGCACAGCGGTTGAGTGCTGGGTTGTGAAGCTGCCCGCAGCCTCTGCAGCGCCGGTTCAATCCCCAACCACCAGGCAAGGGTCCCACATGGTGCGCAGACCTCTCCTGCCACCCGCTGCTCCCCTCAGCAGTGTACTTCGTCAGTCTGCCTGTTCTGTTCCCCACTCTGGCTCTGGTGAATCCTCTCACCCTCCCGCGCTTGTGACTGTACCCAGTGCTTGTATAAATAAATAAATAAATCTTTAAAAAAAAACTTGACAAATAATTCCAAGAAAACAATGCATGGGCCATTAGCCCTGAGAGGAAGCATGCCAACAGAGAGAAGGCCAGGGCCAGGGTCTGGGACTTCCCTATTTGAAGGTACAAGTGTTCACCTGGGGAGGCTGGAGTCAGACCCCTAGGGCTGGGGTAAGGATGGCAGTACCCAGCAGCCCAGCCTCAAGCAGGCACCTCTCAGTGACCTACTGTGGGTTTGAGGGATGTGTGTGGGTTTGAGTTAATTTTTCAGTTGAATGATTCAGTTGATTCATTGACAGTGGGCCGGCTGTGGAGCAGGGACACCGGTGCCATGTCAGCACATCGCCACTGCCCCCTGCCCACCATGGGCAACCCGAGGTCCTTCCTAAGAGACCACAGCAGCTCACCTCACCCGTGGCTACTGCTGGGAACTCCTTTGGCCTGTGCCAAAGTGTTGGAGGGGTTTGTGGAGTGGAGGAGGAGTTCCTCTCCTCTCCCCCAGCCAGGCTTAAGGCCCTGGCAGAGGGCTGAGACCCTGCATCCTGGCAGGGCCCTGGAGGTGTCAGTTTATGCAGACCTGAGACCTGTCCCTTGCTTTCTAAGTGACCTTGGGTAACATACTTGACCTCGCTCAGTCTCGACCCCTTCGTCTGTAGAACAGGAAAAGTCCTCTCAACTTCGTCAGCCCAGCTCCCTCCAGTGCTCGGCAGACTATATCCAAAGCCCTGAAGACTGCCTCCAACAACTTCCTCTTGGAGCCAACCTGCCTTTCTGACCTCATTTCTCCACTCTCCCTCCTGCTCACCATATTCCCACGCGAGCCCACTGTACTTGCTATTCCCTCACCCGAAATGCTTCTCCACCACTCTTCTCAGCGCTCACCCGTCATCCGGGCCCCTTCTAGATGAGGTCTTCCCTGAACACCTTGGGATCATCCTCTTGCATTCACTCCTTATATCCTTAATCTACTTTATTTCTCTTCATAGCACTTTCCATAGCCTGAAAACAGTTTATCTACTAGTTGTTAGTTGTTCATCTTGTCTTCTCTACCACTCAGCTCCTTGGGGATTGATACTTTGTCTTGTGTGCTGCTGTATTTCTGAGGCCCAAAGCAGTACTTCAGTTACTTAGTAAACATTTAGTCCATGCCTTTAAATGGGCAACTGAGATAATGAATGAAAGCACATGCTATGGTGTCAGTCCAAGACACTATGGTGTCGTGGACTCATTACCTGCTAAGGTTCAATTCTGAGCTTTTAGAAGTATTCTGGGTGTCACAGCCTCCCTCCTGGCCCATAGGAGTGACTCTGGGATCACAAAGAGAAAGGAGAGGTCAGGGCTATGTAGTGGTAGTGAGGGTCTTGTGTAAGCGAGACACCACTCACATGTAGGGACCGAGAGTGTATGGGTTCAGGGTTAAGAATTGGGAAGTAGGTAAGAGGGAGAGAAAGGAGGCAGATTGACTGCCATCCCAAGACAGCCTACGCCAGGAAATCGGCTTATTGCTCAGCTAACCTGGGCAAACACAAGCCCATGTATTTCAGGCAACAACATGTGTTGAAAACCAGGCAGGAAGATATGCAGGGCAAAAGGGGTAAGAGGCAGGTCAAGTACCTCCCTCCACATCCAGAACCCCAGGACTTCCTGTAGCTCCTGGTCAGAGCCCATGCCCCTGGGGGTCCTATACTAACCACCTCCCTGCCTCGCTGCATGGTCCTGAGCATCCCCCCGCCATGTCGCCTGGCAAGAGGAGCATGGGTACCGGGTGGGTCAGTGGGAACTGTGATCCCTACCACGCACTTATTTTTAATCATGCAGGTCAACAGAATAGTCCCTGACCATCTGCTATCTTCAGTCCATGTATACCTCCCTCCTTTCTTACACAAATAGTATCATGCTGTACTCCCAATGTAAGAAAACTGACTGCTCTTTTCATTTACCCATCAGTCATCAGTTTCAGATATTGTGTTTCACTGAGATTTCTTTCTCTTTTTATGGCTG